TAAGTATAATTCAACTGAAAAACCAACTAAAAAATAAATAAAAAAATAATCGTTTTATTTCGATTACGTTGTTTTCGTAATCGTTGCAAGCCATAATCGCGATTAAAATACGATTTAATTGAGCAGCCCTACTCTTGGGTCATAGCCAGGCCAAGGGAACAATTAATAACGTTTTGGCACAGCTCTGGATTTTAAGATGTATGTGAATGTGAGCAATTGAATAGAATTTTCCGTTCCTCACTGCAACCTTTCTATCTTTCTTCCCTATAGATATATTTTCTTTTAATAGAGTCCCAATAAAAGAACCTCTCTCGTGTGTAAAAGAGCTGATTAGCCTGCTAGACGATCGCCTGTCCTCTCTGCTATACTTCTCTTTCAGACACCACCAGAACAGCTAATTGTCCGTTAGCAAACTGCTCTGCCTTGCTATAGGGTCTATATGCATGAGGTGTCTTACATGAGGTATATGGCCCTCTGAACATATTGGGAAGCAACCTACATTAATGAGCTGTGCAGCGAGGAAGGTGTGCAGCAGAGCACTGGCAGCAGTCTTCTTTATGGTGTCAGCTCTTCGGCAGCTTGACAGTGTTCCAACCCTCTCGGCTCACCACAGCTACAGTGTGAATCCAGGCATGTTTGCTGGGATATTCCCTATATTTATTTTCACAGGGTCTTTTTTCTCTCTCCTTATTTCTTTGTTCCAACCCTATTCCAAATGCACGCCTTTGTCACTTCAGCACATGGCAAGGGTTACGGTTAGAAATGATCCGTGCAATAAGCAGGCTTTTGTTCAGAAAAATGCCACAGTATGTGCGAGCGCCCTTCATCTCCATTATTTAACCAAGGGCTGACCGGAGAGTTGTTGGCATCAGCACAAACGCGCACATAGTGAATGAAGGCATTATTTTCTCTTTTTCTAACAAGGCAAATTCTCTACAGCTTACCCAATCAGACCGCCTTCAGAAAACCTGGCAATGAAATAACCTTTTTTCCTCCACTAAAGTGTTTTTGGTCTGTCAATGGGTATAAAATGTTTGCAAAATATGGTCTTCAAATGGAAATGGATATCTCTTTGTGTAATGTGCTATACTCAACTCGCCCTTTTCTCTTTTTCTTCTGTCATTTTAGGTTCAATTACAGATCAACACACCATCTCACCACAAATGGATTCTACGAGTTCCTCAACTGGTTCGATGAAAGGGCTTGGTACCCCCTGGGCAGGATCGTTGGTGGCACTGTGAGTTTCTCCTCAAATAGATGCTTTTAAACATCTTCTCTTTTTGTTTCATTGTTCAGCAACTCTACGCTAACTTTAGAGGAATACATCCTTACTCAGGTTCTTGTGAAGTGAAGGAAAATGCATGATTGAAATAAGATGAGACAGTGAGAGGTGGTTTGCATTCTAAAAACAGTGAGAAAAGATATGCTCCAGCTCTCGGTGTATCACTCAGCTCAGCCGCTCCAGGAGGTCTTATTTAAGGCTTCTGGAAAGGACGCTCCAGGCGATTGATGAACCACAGTTTGAGGAATGGCAGCGCGGCTTCCAGGGCGGAAGGTCATGGAACCTCTTAAATCTCTTTAATCTTGGAAGAATACTGGTGTCGTCACAGAGCTTGCCCATCAATGTGTGTTTTTTGTATGTGGAGATTCCTTAAAAGCATGCCCTGCAGTGTCGTGTATGTGAGGAAGAGATATAGGAGATGCCTGGGCAACTGATGCAAGACTAGCATGCCAGAACCAGAGCTGTGTACGGATCCACAGCAATAGAAGATGCCCTTCTCTGCCAAGGTTTTCCCCTAATGATTTTTTACGGTAGCATCTAAAAGCACAGCTGAGGTGTAGAGAGGCTCCACTTGTTTTAGGACTGTGTTCCCACATTTTGCTGATGATGTAGCGTCTTTGGCTTAATCAGACTTTGACCACTGGTGTGAACCATCTAGCTTTCCATCAGGCTATAAAACGGCCCCTTTAAGGTTTTGAGCAAGTTGCTGGCTTCGGTGGGGGGGTACATTGATATATGTTTTCATCAGTGAGGGTAATATGGATCCTTAGATCCACTGGCAAATTGGTACCGAATTCCCAATGTTCTGGCTGTTCTACTTTACAAAGATCAGAGCTAAGCCTGAAGGCAAAGCTCTGGATTTACTAGTTGATCTCTGGTCTGTGGTCATGAACTCTAGGTAGTGACTGGAAGAATGCAAAAACTACTTTAATGACTTGTTCACTTATTCTTTGGGAATCTGATAATAAATGGTCCTGCATACCTCTCTATGGAGAACGTCCAAGACTGTGCACATGGGAAAGGATCCAAAGCAGACCCAGAACATTTTGGAGGGATTACACATCCCACATGGCTGGTTATGCTTTGGGAGGTGCTGGCTGGGAAAAGGAAGTCTGGGCTTCTTTGCTAAGCAAGCTGCCATTGTGAATTTGACCTACTTAAGTGGAAAAAGCTGATAGATTGAGTCTTCTTTTAGCCACGGCAGGAACTTTTGGGGGAATTTTCTTAATATTCTGTCTCAATCCCTCCTTATAGGAAATGATTATTATAGCACCAAAATGGCCCCAATTCATCAGTAAAGTCACCCATTGAATTATGCAGGGAGGCTGTGGCTTAGTGGTTAGTGTGCTGATCTTCAGATCCCCACTGCACTCAGCATGTTGTTGTGTCCTTGAGCGAGACACTTCACCACAAATTGTCCCAGTGGGGATTGCCCACAGTATTGAGTGTACTTAGGTCGCTTTGGATAAAAGCGTCTAACAAGGGACATGTAATGTAATGCTTTAAATTATGACAAGAAATGTTACCAGCAATAGATATCAGAATCAGAATACCTTTATTAGTCCCACAGAGGGGAAAAAATAGCCACAGACAGCTTAATGTTACATATGTTACATGCATTAAGAAGTACTAAGTCATGATATAATAAAAAAATAAATAAAAAGTTACTTAATTTTCAAAATACACATCCTGTAACAGTTCTTAGGATTTAGCAGCCAGGTATATATAGCACAGTTTTAACGGCATATATATATATATATATATTGCACATAGTTGGTTGGTATTTAACAGAAAGGGATGTTATAGTCTGTGTTGTGGTGTGTGTCTGTGGGGGGGGGGTTCTACTAGGGGCTGTGCTGGTTGTATAGTCTGACCGCTGCAGGAAGGAAGGACCTGCGGTATTTCTCCGTGAGACAGCGGGGGTGCAGCAGCCTGTCGCTGAAGGAGCTGCACAGTGAGGACAGGGTGTCCTGGAGGGGGTGGGACACATTGTCCAGCAGGGAGGACAGCTTGGCTGCCATTCTCCTGTCTCCCACCACCTCCACAGTGTCCAGAGGACTCCCCAGGACAGAGCTGGCCTTCCTTACAAGTCTGTTCAGTCTCTTCCGTATCTCTTCCATATCGACATGTAGTAGGCAATTCTACAGTTCACATGTCAGATACATTGTAAAAGAATACAATTTGCCGATACCTGTACATCAAGACTACTCATCGACATTGATGTAATATCTAATGTAGTCATGTCCTCAATAGTGGTTCATGCAAATAACTAAAGTAGGTATTGTCTCTGTTGTCATTGGTATTCTCAGTACTGTGTGTTTGTGTGGGGTGGGGGGTAGGCTGGGGTTATCTGGGTTTAGGCAGCAAGGTGATGCAGAGATACCATAAGCCTCCACCAGGCAGCATGGATTTAAGTCACAATCCAGTGGCAACAGTGAGCTGTGAACCTGACAGATTCCCCAGGCTGCTACTGTCTCCCTGTTTACCAGCAGCAAGAGCAGTTGTGAAGCATTGGCCCTTTTCAGTGAACAATGTGCCCATTCCACAAAATCCATCTCCCATTTCCCACGCCCCCCCCCCCCTCCAAATTATCTTCTTCCAACCTCATCTTCTCAGCACTGCATCCTCTCAACCGTGAGGCCTGTCTGAGTTAAACACCTTTGGCCCATCCATCTGCCCACTTTCCTTCTTACTTTTAACCAAGCTTTGTTAACCATCCAGGAGCACACCCTGAGATGTAATTGCATTACATATGGCTTGGTCTGGACTAAAGACATTCTTAGTCGACACTGATATGATTTGGCGATTTCATTTGTTGATTTAATCATTGGATTGTGTAAAAATTGACAAAGAGGGAGCAGCCGTTGTTACAAAATATCAGGACTACATAACCCAGTGCCAAACAAATGTCACCAAGCGATTCCATTGGCTCAGTTTGATATGCTTGGAAAGACCTGGTGATTTCCTTTCTTGTTCTTCCCCTTCTCTGTGCATGGTGATTGGAGAGTCCTTTGCACAGTACAGGCAGCGAGGCATGTTAATTTAGTTCATTGCCATCATATGCTGTTATCATTACAGACCAAAGCAGATGGTGCAGTAGCAACACTACATGCTGAGGTTTGAATATAGTATGAACTACTGCACCAAAGACGCCACAAATTGGAATGACAAAACCCCTCCCTCAGCATACATCTGTCATGACTTAACTAATTGTAATTGTATATGACAGGCCTTGATTGTAATAATGAATGTGCTGGTTCTGTCACAGTACATGAATACTTGGGTTGTGCCCTTTACCCAATGGGTGGAGGCTGAAACTCATGATTAGACTGGTAATCGAAATTGGAAGGCAAATAGTTTGAAATTAATTTTTATGACATTTAAAAGATCCCTGGGCTGCATAATTCTTTGTCTTCTGCATGCAAATAAACATACAAGGCTTTCCTCTGTACATTTCTATTTGCATTTCATGAATATAGGCGTAAAATGAAACAAACAAATGTATTGTTATTCATACATACTGTTAATTTGATTAAGTTTAATGTTGAGTTGTGCTGATTTCTGCTCAATTTAACTTTCAAGTTATTTCATGTTCCAGTCCATTACTATAATTGTTTTAATTTACTTAGCTGTAGGGATATCACAAGAACTGATAATTGCATTAGTTGCATAATGGTTGATTCTACAATTAATCAAATGGATATCGTATCTATTTGTATATTATAACGTTATTATGAGGTGTTAAAATGTAGTCTTTGTGAGAAACTTGAATAAATGCAGTAGTTTGAGGATAATGTTTTTACAGCAATATAAAATAGATGTTAGAACATTTAGATTTTCCTACTAAAACACTAAGCAAAAGGACATAAAGGATTCTAGTGTATGTTGTACATGGGATATATTTAAAGGGGACCTATCGTGCAAAATGCACTTTTTTATGTCTTTTATACATAAATATGTGTGCCCGGTGTGTCAGGGAACTCACGCAGCGTCAGAAAATAAAACCCTCTCTCTTTTCCTCCGTACCCAAATCTCTAAAAACGGGGGTACAACGGAGCTGATCCAGATTTGGGTCCGATGTGACGTAACATCGGAAATGTGGACCCACGGTACTATCAGAAAGTTGCTATCAGAAAAAATGCCCGACTGTTTTGTACGTCATATGGTCGGTGTTTACATTAGCCTCGCTGACACTCAGAGCTAACCTATACTGGAGAGCATGTGTTTGAAGAAGCAGGAAATAAAAAGGAACTCACCTTGTGGTATAACCGGCAAGAGAGAAAGCCTTTGATCTCCATACTGTTTCAGAAATTATCCATGATATGGTGTTTCATCACGGCAGTGTTTAGTTTAGACAGTAGCTGCCGGGTCCCGCATGAGCTCAGCCCCCTCCTTTTTTTTTTTTTTTTTAAAGCTTTATTCCCAAAATCAGCACTTTTGAAACAGGAAGTGAAATAGAGGGATATGAGGCACTAATATAGCCTCAAATTAGACCCACATGCAAATAGAGGACGAGAGCTTCTGCTTTATCAGAGCAAGAGTGTTTTTTTTTTTTACAATAGGTGCTGTGATGAGCAGTTACGCCATTGTTTTCCTTCCTCTTTAGCAGAACTGTCTCCAAAAAGCTGTTGAGTGTGAGTCATTTCAGTGGGTAACATTTGTGAGGAGATTGCCTGGCCAGGATATGTCCTGCAATGCAATTACCAAGCCATTACGGTGGTAATGTTATCCCTGCATTTGGTGTTATTATTTTGTCACTGGATGATTGCATTCACACTTCTGCTGCTATAGGGATGAAATTGTTCTTATTGGAATCAACAAATGTAGTAACCAATGGGTTGCTTTACATGTCGATTTGCCAAACTAATTGAAGTGATTTGACTGTCCTGAATTCAGATGCACTACAGCAGAATGATTGGGGATGTTGTTGAAGGATGTTAAAGTCTGGTGAACAAGAACAATGAACTGAGCCTGTTAAGTTTTACCGGTATTGCGTAGCTGAAGCTGGTTTTAGTGTATTTCACTGTGCCATTCTTGTCCAAAAAACTACTTAAATATGGTATTTAGCAGCACTTTAGCACAGTATGACTTATTGTATGTTTTACTCCCAATTGAGTAACATGTGCTAGAAACTGCACTGATAGTCTCTCTTAGGAAATAACTGTAAATGTGTGTTTTTCTCCCCCCTTTTTCTTTATCTTCTTAAGCTTTACATTTTCAATTGGCACCAATGGGCTTGTATACAGTTTGCCAGCACTGTCCTTTTAACAGGCTACTTCTGCTTTCAAACTACAGTTGACTTGGATGAAGTTTAGTCCCAGATGGTCAGCCGGTCACATTCAAACGGCCAGCCGCATTCTGCCTCACAGGAATTCTGATAGCAGGTGGACGGGTGGGCCATGCTCAATGCAAATGATCCATATAACATGCAAATCTATGCAAAGTAGATCAAGAGGAGGATCATCTAGGAACTGCTGCTAGGACATCTGACAGAGCTAGAGCATAGGTTCAATACATTTTCAGAATTTCACCGGCTGTCATTTCTATATAAGAGGCTGAGATGGGATTGTTTGCCGGAACAATCTGGTTCCTTTTTTCAAGGGCACCGTGATGGCAGTTGCTGGAGTAACAGAAAGCCACTCACTCATTTACTGTGTAGGCTAATTGTCAAAATGCCACTTGTTTTCACGACTGAGCTGGTTCTTTTTCTGAACATAGACAGACTCCAGGGAAGAATGGCATTTATTTTACTCCCACACTGCATTCGGTATCATAAAAGAAATGTGTGTGAGCGCTTATTTGCATCAAACATGTGCTTGTGAAACAGGGAGGGGTGTGGAGAGAAACTGGTTTTTATCTCAGATTGCTGCATTGTGCCTGTTTCTCAGTCCATAGTGCAGCCACAATTCATGGCTTTTGTAGGAAAAGCAAAGTTATATTCCCTCCTACACCTGTCTTGGCATTATAAAAACGTCAGTCTCCTTTCTCATAAGGAGATATGTTTCTGACCCTTCACGCTGGAGGTGGGATTCATAAAACCACCGTTGCTCTAACACTAACAAAACTTGTATTTTTTTCCGTTGCATGAAACCTTTCTTTATGCCTGCACTCTCTTTGAGATACCCTGGCCGTTTCTCAATGTCGAGTATACCTGCTGCAGAGCCACTATTTCAAGTATACTACGTCATCGAGTGGCGCCGAAGGACTGTTTAAATGCATGCAGTGCATGACATTAAGGATTTTGGGAGATGGCCCTGTGGGCCATCTAAGCTAATTTACAGATGGCCCTGAGCCCAATAGAGATTGCCCTGAAAAATCCGCGCCGACGAAATAGCACGAAGGGTTTGGGGGGCCTCCCCCTAGAACATTTAGATTTTTCCAGGTCTTCCTGTAGATGCTGTCTGGTGCATTCTCTAGACTGAATTATACGATGAACCACCACAATATTATATTGTACAAATTCAATTTTATTCTTAATTTCACTTGTTTATTTGCTCTTGTTTGCTCGCTTGCATGCCCTGCATAGCTATAAGAAATACTTCAGTTGTTGGTCAAGACACTTTCCATCTGATGAAAGCAAATGCCTTCCCAGATGTAAAAAAGTAGAAAACATTACATTCAGTTATAACTGCCAAAACAAACATTATTTACACTATTATGATCCCTGTTAAAAATGTTTGTAATGTTATCTACTGTAAGTTGGTCGAATTAATGCTTCCTCATCCGGAAGCTGACCGAGCAGACCCGAGCAGCAGTCGAGAGGAGCCGAGCGCATCCGCGAAGCACACAACATGGGGACGTCGGAGTTCCCGTTAGCCGGCAAATCTAAATCTCTTCGGTCAAAATAATTTCCCTTTAGCGCAATACCGCTTCAGTTGCACCACTTATGTGACAGACAAGAAGAGTATGTGACAGACAATAATAGTCAATTATAATGTCTAACACGTAATGTGGAGAAAGAGATGTCCTGTCTGGGTTGATTGTGAGTTGATCTGTTGGTAATGCCCCGGGGTTCCGGTAGGCATGTAAACAAATGCATAATGCTGCGCTATACTTTGTGGCCTCACCCAGTTGCATAGCGACACTTATTGTTTAGGTGTCTTTTAAGAAGCAGGTAGTCATATCATTAGCTAGAACTAGCTGGATCTGATCGATATGGACATAAACGCGAGTGAAGTCTAATCTGACGGGAGAGAGAGAGATCAGCTGCTGCTGACGAGTCGGCACGCAGCTCTGCATGATCACATGCAGCGGTGAGCGGAACAAAACACACACTTCAGGTTAGAATATCACACGTAGCTATTTTAATTACCTCTCAAACTACCTAAAATAGTTATAGATATGTTTAGTGTTACTGTCGGGTCACTCATTACTGGATCCGCGAGCTGCATGATACTGGCATAATAGATTGCCCGATCGGGCAACCAGCAGGTGAGGCTTCATTGCCCGAGCTAAATACTAGATGGCCCCGGGCCATCGGGCAGTCCTTAATGTCGAGCCCTGGCATGTTAAATGCCCAGCATTCGGCGCCACTCGATGACGTAGTATACTTGAAATAGTGGCTCTGCAGCAGGTTTACTCGACATTGAGAAACGGCC